GTGGCAGTCGCCACGCCCACTTGTGGCCCACTTGGCAATTAAGTTTATAAATAAATAAATCAAATGCAAATTTCACCAGCAAACAACAACAACAACAACAACAAAATACTAGAAAAAAAAGAAAGACTGAAGAGAGGAAAAAAAAAAACATGAAAGGCAAAACGGCCGCCTCTTTGTGGGTGTGACAGATGCAGGTGGGCAGGCGGCTGCACAGGGGGAGGGATGTCGGCGCCTCAGGTGAGCGGCCAAGCATGAGTCAGGGGAGAGAGACAGAGCGAAAGAGGGGGGTGGGGAAACCGACTCCAGTAGGTGGCTGCCAGAAGAAAGAAGACTGAAAATGTGGCAACTGCAGCAGCAGCAGCAGCAGCAGCAGGAGGGTAGAAGAATCGTTGGCGGCTCGTCGTCAGGGGAGCCTTAATTAGAAAATTGCTAATAACTCATGCACACGAACGAAATTTCAATATTAATGAGTTTTAAGGCAAAACGACAGGCAAAAAGAAAAGGCACAACAACAACAATAAATGTACAAAAAAGTAAAAAAAAAAAATGTAACAACTACACCAACAAGAGCTTAACCACAACACCAACAGAGTTTTAAGCAACATTAATAATGCCAACAATTGTTATGGCAACTCCAACAACAATAACAACGACACCAACAATCGTTACAAGGAGCCCAACAAAGAATTCAACTACAGAAACAAGAGCTACACCAACAAAAATAGCTCTGAAAGCTACACCAACAAGCAAGATCATAGATTTCAACAGCATCAACAGAGATTCCACTTACAACAACTGTTCAAAAAACAAAAAACCAAAAATAAATTACAACAACAGCCAGTCGCCAGTCACCAACAACCGCAACACCAATGGAAAATATTATTCCAAAACACTCCAATATAGATGCCACTGCAATAAGCATTACAACAACTCCAACATGGATTTCAACAACACCAACAACTACACCAGAAACAAATTAGACAACAACAAGACCAACAACAAAGAGTGTATGCGGCAACAACAATTACAAGCAGCAGCAGTTAGGCCCAGACTTTGAGAGGCCCACAACGACACGGGGGTCTTTAATTGAAAAGAAGGTCTAGAAATACCAACGTACAGGCATCGTTCCTGACCATCTTTGTGCACTGTGGGAGATCGATGCAGCAGCACAGAAGGCACTGGAACCCCATCCACACGCATCCATTTGAGAGGCTGCTGCTGCTGGCTGCTGGCTGCCTGTCTTACGCTCTCTCTCTCTCCTGCCGCTCATTAACTTGGCTAAAAACTCAATGGGCTTCGCACTGGGGGGACCCAAATGAGCAGCGGCTGGGGCCCCCATCATCAGCGTTTTGACTGATTTAGTTGTCAGTAAGTGGCCCTGTCTCACTCGCTCATTGTGGTGCTACCTTTTGCTGCCGCCTGCCGACTGCCAACTGCCACCTGCCTCCCTCTCACCCACCTAGTATTTTTGTGAAGCTCAACATGTGGCTCATAATTAGCATGCAAGCGGCATAAATCGCAGCAGCAGCAACAGCAACAGCGGCAGCCAGCAACAACAATTAACAGACCCAAATTGCATGCAACACAGCAGAAGCTTGTTCTCTTTTTCTCTTTTTTTTTCCTGCCACTATACTCGTAGTGTATATTTTTTTCACTCCAAGTTTTCCTTAGCGGCTTTCTCTTGGCGTTTTGTTTTCCCTCCAGATTTGTATACGAGTCTGCCCTGTTGGGCGAGCGGGTACTATGAATTTAATAAGCTCTTTGCAAGTCGTTCGCCGTAAGCGAAAGGTGCATTCTGTTCTGCCATGGCAAGAGGGTATCCAATGGTTCGACCCTTTCGCTTGGCCTGCCGTTTGGTCGCTTTCGGGCTGCCTACTTAGCATGCACTTCAGGCAGGCAGTCATTGACGTCTGCAACAGAACACGTAGGCAACAAACAGGCAACAGCAGCGACAACAACAACTGTCAATTATATTAGTTGTTGTTACTACACACAGCGCTAATTCAAAAATCATGCGTGGGCAGCACTTGCAACAGCAGCAACAGCAGCAGCAACAGCAACACGCCAGCAACAGCAGCAGCAACGACAGCAACAGCGGCAACAACTTGGCCGCAACATGGCCACTAGCAACTTCTCTTAATTAAGTGTCGACCTGCTGTTGCATGCAAATGTTGCATGAAAGAAAGAAAAAAAAAATGCAAAGCAAAAAAGAAGTCGGTCGGTCTCTTGCTGCCTGGCCCCCCTCCGCCCCTCCGTCTTGGGCTGCGACCTTTAGCCATTGCGTGTTGGCTGCCACTTTGGCCATAATTTTCCAGCCGAACATTTGGGATTTTTGTTGTTGTTGTTTCTTTTGCCTGAATTACTGCTGTGATCTTTAACTAAATGAGAAGAGCTTCTACAGTGGTGGAAAAGCGTTGCTGATACCATTCCATGGCACTCGGTTCCAGTCATCGAATGACGTTTCATTCGCCATGCAAAGTTCCCATAAGCGAAAGGATTTATTTATTCATAATACCAGAATGCTTCCTGTTTAAGTTTTCCGCTGAGTTTTCCCCCAGACCTTTAAGCACTGTGCCCCAGTAAGCCCCAAAAGTTCGCACGACTTTTCCGAGAGCTGAACAAAGAGTGTGAGAGAGAGAGAGGGAGAGAGAGAGAGAGGGCTCGAGAGAGAGACAGAGTGAGCTTGAGAGAAAGAGGGAAATAACAAAATGCATGCGTAATTTACGCTTTACGATCGCAATAGCTTCAGATACAGATTCTAACTCCTCTATAATATCGTTATCGAGGTCTCAGATCAAGGCTCCAAGGTGGAGGCAATGTGCCAGAGGAGTTGCACAGAGGGGCACAAGGAAGGGGGGGAGAGGGGTGTGTGGCTGGCACAGAGGCACAGTCAGTCGCTGTGGCAGGGACAGAAACTGGGACTGAGACTGAGACTGCGACTGAGGCTGAGATCCGTCGTTGCATGCTGTGTGCCCGGTGCGTAGTGCAATAAATCAAAGTTTTATTTGTTGAAATAAATTCAGAGTTTATTGCTTCGTTATTATTTTTTTGGTGCCTCGATGCCTGAGATTTCCAACACCCCAGAGTAAAGAGAAGGAGAAATAGAGACAGAGACAGAGATGGCTCGATGGCCGGAAATGTTTGTTGTTTTGCAGTTTGCAATTTCTTTTGGTCGCGCGGGGCCTTACCTAATTTCAGATCGTTTCGTTGATTGCCTGAATGTTGGCCTCGTCGATTAATTATTTAACCATCAATTTAATGCAAAACTGATGGCCAGAAAAAGACAGATAGATGGCACAAAACACACACACACACACACACACAGAGAGAGACATGCTGAGAGAGAAAGAAAAGTTTTTACTGGCAAACCCATAAAAGTAAACAAAAAATGTTGAAAGTCCCACAGAGAAGCGGAGCTGGAAATGTTTTGCTTGTTGAACGAAGAACGCAGAAGATTGATTTTTTTTTTACACCATTTGGGAGGGGAAAGAAAGAGTTTTTCCTTCTTGAACATGGAACATAGAAATTTGGAATTTCCGCTGAGGCAAAAATATATATTTCTGAATATATAGAGGTGCCTTCTATAGATGGGTTTTTGATGTCAATCAATCAAATAATATTCACCAGCTCTTGTCATTTCGCACAGAGATCTCTACGTGTAACTTCTTTACATCAAGTCTCAATGTTTGCTGCAGTAGGGGTATGGGGTACTTAAAGCACTCTTAATCTCTCAGTATTCTTGATAGTATTTTGTCAATAATTTCAAACAGGTTGATGGTTACAAAATTGAGATATACTCAAGAACCCACACCTTGGAAAAATTCCGCATTTATTAAATTTATTAATATTAAATTAATTTATATTAAATTAAATTAATATTGAATTAAATTAATATTAAATTATGCATTTTTTTTCTTGTATGTTATTTATTTTTTTAGCTGACATTTTAGCTTATTTTTTTTTAGTATTTTTTGGGTATTTTTAATATTTATTATGTAAGTATTTTTATGTTCAAGTTTTTATTATTTTATTTATACCTTTTTGTTTCTATTTATAGTTTTTTTTTTATTTAGTTTTAAACTTTAGTATACTTAAGACCTTTTTTGCTCTCATATTTTAAGTGTCTGCTGGAAATTAATTAATTTTTTTTGTATTAAAAAATGTTTAGAATTATTTTTTTGTGTGTATTTCTTTTGAAAAGTTAATTGAAGTTGTATTAAATTTTTAATATGTTTACAGCAGACGGTGTAGTATTTTCATCAATATACTCTCACTCTTAGACGAGTCCATCGATTTGCTGCGATGTAATTAAATATTTATAAGGTGTATCGGCCGCCACACCACCCCACCCGCACATAGCATGCACAAAACTGAGTAAACAGAAAAATAGAAAAGTGTACAAAAGTTTTGGATGCATTTGTGCCAAGTCAGCGTTTTAGTTGTGTGGAGAAACCCAGTGACACGCCTAGTCACGCCCTCAATTGCACGTTGTGTCCACCTGCCTGCTGCTGCTCCGCCGCCCTCTACCACCACCTCGCCAATTACCTCTTAACACCTCTCACCCAGATGGCGACCGACCGATAGAGAGCGAGAGAGAGAGAGCAGTGTAGAGGGGTCGCCTGGCCTGGCCTGGCTTGGCTTGGCTTGGTGGCAGTGACATTTGTGAACCCTGAAGCAAAAGATTTCGCAATTTGTTTGGCATTTGTGCGCAATCGCTTTGGCATTAATTGCATATAAAGATACCCAGATACATGCATACTCGCAGATACAAAGATACTTTACGTATGGCATGCAATGGCTTACGCAATTTTCAATTAGCAACAACAAAAAATTAAGAAATTAAACGCAGTCAGCAACTAAAATTAAATAATCTAGCTAACTAACACACACAGAACATAAACAAACTAAAAACTTAAAACATAAAACTAAAAACTAACCAACACAATTTAATGTCCATCTTTGTTCTTTTCTTTGTTGGTTTCGTTTTTCGGTTCCTGCAGCAGCGTAAGCTGTCACCGACATGGGCAGTGAGCACTACTGCTTGAGGTGGAACAATTACCAATCCAACCTGTTAGGGGTGTTTAGTCAATTACTACAAGACGGGAGCCTGGTGGACGTCACACTAGTTTGTTCAGAGGGCACATCCATCAGAGCCCATAAGGTGAGTTTCATATCAATCAATCTATATATTTATCTATCTATCTACATATCCATCTACCTTTATTTATTGTCAATATTCTTCAAGCTAAAAATATTTAAACTAAGAAATTCCCTCTGTATTTCGGGCTGCATTTCTATTAGTTTATTTGTGTTTTTTCGGATACCCCTGTTACCCTGACATTACAAAAATGTTCGCATAAGTGAACGGATACACGCCTTTAAGGCTGATACCCCCCTAGACTTTTCCCCATCATCAGTTACACTTGTACCCATTCAAAAAATAAGCATTTGCATCTTTAAGATACTCGTGTTGATTGTAGATACTTTTATTTGTAATTATGCTTTAGATTCTTTCATCTGCTGCAGCATTGCGATGCTTCTGCATTTGTATCTTTGCTGGCAGAGTGCCCTTGAGATACACAATCTCGTATCTGCTGCGTGGATTTGTACTTTGTGCATTTCTTGGCTTTGTTTCCACCCAAGATGTACATATCTGTGGCATATTTGTGTATCTTATGCATCCCATTTGAGTGTCGAGAGCTGCAAAACGGAAAACTCCAACTGTAAAATGCGGAAGCTAACGATCAAGGTCGCTGCTGGCCCCCTGTCTTCGCCTTCACTCCACTCTGTCACGCGGTGCTGCTGCTGCCACTGGCTCTGCCTACTCCTTTGCCTGTGAAATGCCAGCCGCATAAATTAACGCAACAGCAGCAGCAGCAACAGCAACAGCAACAAGATCAAATGCAATTTACACATTTGTCAGTAAATTGTCAACTTAACGCCGCAACACACTCTAAACGAGCCTCAGCCTCTGCCTCAGTCTCAGCCTCTGCCTCAGCCTCTGCCTTGTTGCTAGTGCCACACTGCTGCCGCTACCTGGCAACATGTTGACAAGGTCAGCCTCTAATAGAAATTGACTGCAATGGACCTGCCTGGTTGTCTGCCGCCTGCCTACTGACTGCTGCCTGCCCCGATGCTGCTGCTGCTGCCACTTCCTCGCACTCGTCGCTCGCTGTAACTGCATAAATCATGCGTTTTGCCCACAGAACAGCAACAGCCACAAGAAAGCAAAAGCCTTGCTTGCCAGATGATCGCATAAGTTGATACCCTGAAAAGATAAGCAGAGAGAGAGAGCTGCTGGGAACGATAGCTGACAAATACACAAGTCCTTCAATTGATGTTTCCTATATCCAAAGAAAAGAAAAAGCAAATATAAACTGAGACAGACACACAGAGATGCATCCTAGAGATACATCTTGCTTGCTTTCAGCTGCCGCAAAATCATAATACCCTAATCGCGGCACAGCCAAAAGCAGGGTATATGTGGGGTATAACAACCAACATTGTGCACACGTCTGTCAATTGAAATTCCTGTTAAATTAAGCGGAAAATATTTAACTGCGTTTACTGTTTGCTGCCGCTGCTGCTGCGGCTGCTGCTGCCTCTAAACAAGACTTTGGTTAAAGCAGCCGCTCCATCTTGCAGCATCGCGCTGTGCTCCAACCCCACTGCCTTGATAAAGTTATTTGAATCTGCTGGAAAACTGGTAAATTGTTCAATTATAAATGTGCATCTCTTTCCACTAAAACAACTGCAGAGGGAGTGGCGCCGCCGCCGCCGCCATTCACCATTCACCATTCCATTCTGCCTGCCACATAGTGGCACACGAGAGAGAAGGATTCACACACACACACACACTAATTGACACTTGGGCTAATTATTTGTAATTTGGAAATCATTGAGTGAGCGGCTTTGAACAAGATCTGCGCCAAATGGGAATTCCATAATAATACATTTAAATTTAATTTAACATTCGCTTGAAAGCTCTGTAAAAAGCAGCGCTCACTCTCTCTCATCCTTTTCTGCACTTACTTACTTACATGTGTACTTCATCTGCCGCTTGCTGTGAGCTGGGGCTGTGGCTGGGGCTGGGCAGGGGAAATCAACTTCATTAGGAATTCGACTAAAATCTAAATGGGGGCGGAGAAGAACCAAATGCAGAAATGGAGACAAAATGCAAACAAACAAACAACAAACTGATGAGTTCATTTCCTTTTTAGACATTTGCAAAAAACCAAAAAAGAAAAAAAAAAAAAGCAAAGCTTTGCAATTGAGAGAGAAATAGAGAGGAGAGTGGAGAGTGGGATGGACACATGTCACGATGCTTGGGCAAACTAATTAGCAAATGCTACCAGACAGCAGACGGCTGGGCAGGGGCAGAGGCAGGGCCAGGGGCAGGGGCAGGACAACGTTTAGAAAGCGTTAGCAAAAGCAAAGAAATGGCCAGAATTCTGCATGCCAGCGAAAGTCAAGAAAGGAAGCCAAGGATCTGTCATCATACACGCCCAACCCTTCCCCCAGGCCCTCCCAACCCGGTGCAGCCACTGAAAACCGAATCGAATCGAATCGCAAACGAACTGAAATGAACCAAACGAAACAGAACTGTCAATTACTTTTGCATATATCCTTCAGCAGCAGCAGCAGGTCCTGCCCGCAGGCACCTTGGAAAACGGTCCCCCGAAACATGCGACACCCAAAAGGAGTAGCAGCAGGGACAGGCAGGGACAGCAGCAGGAGGCAGGGACAGAAGGCAGGAGTCAGGAGTCCGTGTGTGACAGCAGAGGAGAGTGCTCATCGTAGAAGGAGCAGCAGTAGAACAAAAAATTGTTAAATTGATTAAAAAGCAAAGTGTCGATGAACGAGGCAATGATGACAGCAGGCAGGCAGCCAGCCATCCAGCCCATCGAGCCCATCCACTCATCCAGTCAGCCAGGAGACGGGAGGCTCTGTGGCGAGGACACAGGACGCAGGACGCAGGACATGCAACCAGGCCAAAGTCAATTCAATGAAAAAACAAAAAAAAGAAAGAAAAACACAATCCAACAACACACACAAAAAAGAAACAGAAAAAAAAAACCAAAAGACCAGAGACCAGGCAGCCAGGCGGGGGCGGGGTAGGCGTTGAGTGGATAACCAAGTGATGGTCCTGTTCCTGCATCCTGGCTGGATGCGTCCTCCTGAAATGGAGCCCAAGCTAAATATGCTCTCATGTTCGTGTCCGTGCGATAAAAGGGGGTACGCGAGGTGGGATATAAGAGTTTATCGCTGTGCAAAAATAGAGCCAAGCGAATCGCGTGACATGCGGCAGTGCCACTCGGTCGCTTGGCCTTCTCTTGCTGCCTCGCAGCTGTGCGTAAAGATCTTCGTCTTGTGGTGGTGCATTTAAACAGCTTGTAATGTGGCGTAGTTCTGTTCCGCCAGGCGTCCTTCGAAGCTCTTCAATCAACCCACGATTTTTTTTTTTTTTCCTGTATGGCAGCCTCCTCGTGTGGAAGGGATTTTTCTTCTTTTTTTTTTTGCAGGCCATTTTTTGCAGTTTTTTGTAGTTTTCTGTGCCACTGTGGGATGCTGCTGTTGCCTGCCACTCGCTACGATACTTGCAGCAGGCCACAGGCTTTTGTCCTTCTATACAGAAAGGAGTGCAGGGAAAGGGTGGGTGTGGGGAGAGTGGGTCTGGCGTGCAAACGGCGTCGGCACTTTAACTCAATTTGAGGCATTTAACGTATGCTCGGTTGATATTTGATGCGATTTGAGAATCGTTCTACACAGCCTCCACCTCCACCAACGCCTCCCACCTACGCCAGGGTGCCAGGGCGCCAGTGCGCCAACCGCCTCCAGGGGCTGGGCTCTCTCTGCCGTTTTTCTTTCTTTGGTTTTTTTTTTTGCCATCGAACGAAGCAGCCGAAAGGCAAACAAAGTGTAACAAATGTCGTTGCGGACAGGTCAAGAGTGGAGAGGAAACACTAGTACGAGTATGGATGTAGTAGCATGTGGCATGTAGCATGTAGTACGTAGCACGTAGTCCTGTGTCCTGTGTCCTGTGCTGCTGCTGCTGTTGGCAAATGACTTTCAATGACTTTTTTCCCCGAGAAGGCAAATTTCTGTTCAAATATTTGCATCACCCACAAAAAAGAAAAAAAAAAACAGGAAAAGAAGAGGAGAAAGCAAATGCCTTGTGGATGGGGGGTGGTGAGGAGTTTAGAATTTTCTCTGTTTTCTGTTGTCTTAAGCTGATTTGTTGGCTGGCTAAGAGCCTGATTGAGTCGCACTAACTGGTCCTGCGCCCCTGCCCCTGCCTACTTCACATTTGAATGAATGTGTAAATTAACATGGACATTCAGTGAAGAGTGAGAGCTGGAGTGCCGCAGGAGGAGGGGCTGTATCGTATCGCTTGTTGTTTGTACGAGGGTTTCGATTCGGGTATAACAGGGTGTTGAACAACATGCCAGACATGCCACACGACCAACCACAACAACAGCAACAACAACAACAACGATGATGATTGTTGTTGCTGCTGCTGCTGCTGCTGGTGCTGTCTCAAAAATATGCAAAAGCCAAACACTTAACACAACACATTTTTGACATGCAGCACCAGCAGAGCCCGAGTCAGAGTCAGAGTCAGTGCCAGCAAACAACTGCAGCAACTGCAGCACTGCAACTGCAACATGACGTGACCGCCTCTATTGACAGCTGCAACAACTTGCAACATATGTCTCAGGCAGGGCAGGGCAGGGGCATGGGCTGGGGCTGGTGCTGGGGTGGCCAACAAATTGCTTGCCCAATAAACATTCAAATCAATTGTTCAATAAATTGCAATTTTCGCCGTTTCTTTAAAATACAAAACTTTTGGCATGAAAAATGTGGCCCTCAAAAAAAATCTCACTCTCGGTCTCTCTCTCCCTCTCTCATGGCAATATGCCGTGCCACAGAGTGGCATGAAAAATCACCGATTAAAGGCTGATTAAAGTCTTAAAAAAAATCTATTAATTAATGGCCAAACCATAAAAAATTCTTTACAAAAAATAACAAGACGCCACCACGCCCCCAAAACAAAACAAAATTCTTGATAAATTGATTTGCATAATTTTGTAACAAGAGATTATTAATAAACCAAAAAAAAAAAAAATTACAAAAAAAAAAATAGAATCAAAAGAAAAAATG